AGTGAAACCTGGTAAACAGGAAAAAAATATTATTTTCATGAAAACACTTGCTTTTTTCAAACCCCAAATCTAGTTAAGTGCTTCATGTAAAGTGAGTGCAGCTGCTAGTTTTCTAATTTAGCCAATGCTATCTGAACTCTTTGATGATTAGGATTCTTGGATAGGCTGATTTGGCTGGAATAATTTATACTGCTATTTGTAATGAGGACGAAATGAGAACAATGACAAACTACTTTCATCAGTCTGGCAATTTATTAATCAACAAATTCAAACATTTAAAAATAATTTGCTAAAATTGTTTGAATTATGATAATGCTGGGTGTAATATCAGGAAGAGCTCGTTATTGTGTGGAACACACTTTGAATATAAAGTAGAGGATTGCTGAACATTTAACAGTCCCAGCAAAGAAGGAACAAGAGAAATGATTAAAGGCCTAGCAATCCATGATGGACTGTCTTAACTCAGTATAAAAAATGAAACTGAGATATATCCATTTTACTGTGCTAAGGTGAACTGGTTGTGGTAGCCATCTTGAATTGAACTGACTCCAAAACTAGTTATAATAATATATATTATAACCAGTGAATAGTTTCTGATAGTTTTACTATAATCAAAATGATGCTTGATGAAACATTTTGCTGTGGTTTGTGAATATAGAAGGGACAAATGGTTCCTTGAAGGGATGTAAATCTTGATGAGCTGTTTGTTTCATAGAGCTGGTTCAATAGAACCATTCCATTTTGAACAATTTATACCACCCATTATCTATTGTAAACCTGCTTCTTCCTTTCAGGGTCACAGGGGTCACTGGTGCCCATATCCAGCAGTCACAGTGCAAGCAAAGGTCACAAGTCCATCACAGGGCCACACATAGAGACACACAACCATTCACTCTCTCCTAGGGAAAATTTAGAGCTATCAATTAACATAAATGTCATGGTTTTTTGTCTGTGGGAAGAAGCCAGAGTACCCAGAGAGAACCCACACATGCACTAAGAGAACATGCAAACTCTACCCATAAAGGTCCTTGGGCCGGGATTTGAACCAGCGATCAGCTCGATGAGAGGCATCAGCTCTACCAACTGAACCACCGTGATTCCACAGTTACATCATCATGTAGGAACATGCAGAGGTCTAAAGTAATTGAGTACATTTACTTTGTTACAGTACTTATTTTTTGAGCATTTGTAATTTTGACCTGTGTTTTTTTAAATCGTAACATAATTTTATTTAGTTACATTTAAAACCTTGTTTATTTACCATCCAACACTTTAAAAATTAAAATATGACTGGAACTCATAGATTATTATGCACTCAAAAATACATTGGTTTGAATTCTATTTTCTATTTAAGTACTTTTACTTTTACTCAGTTATTTCTTTGAAGTACTTTATATAGCTCTGGATATGACGTTATCCCGTATGCCATACGTGATGACATCATCACATCACATGGGCAGTACCCTGCATTTTGTCAAATGGATTGCCCCTCCCCCCTTCCCCCCAAGTTGCTGTACTCCACCCTGCTGTCTGTTTTCTGTGAAAAAGTGAGGGAGGAGTGATTGTCTTTGTGGTAATCGATGAAAACAAATATGTGAAGTAAAGGAAATAAAATTGTGAACAGCTCTTTATTATCTTCCATTCGGTTTGTATTGTTCATTGTAAGGAGCTGTTCAAAAAGTCGTTCACAAACGTCACACATCTATTTGTGAAATATTTTTCTCTCATGACCAATAAATTAATACGTACATTCACAAACACTAAAGCAGCCCAGGCCAACCAGTCGATCACGATCGATGGGTCGATCTTTAGAAATTAAAAGTTGATTGCAGAGCAATCGGTCACCAATGCTAATACTAACTTTTAACATTGCAGCCTTAAACGCACTCTTGTAGAACGTAACATTTGTTTGTTTAACATTGCAGCCTTGAAAGCACTCTTAGCAATGTTTGTTTAACATTGCAGTCTTCAAAGCACTCTTTGCAATATTTGTTTAACATTGAAGTCTTCAACGCACTCTTTGCAACATTTGTTTAACATTGCATTCTTGAATGCACCCTTGTCACGTTTGTTTAACATAGCATTCTTGAACGCGCCCAGTCTCGCAAGTTTTGGGTGTGGGGACACGGCTGATTTCATCAGACTTTGGTTCAGTAGCGGTCGGAGATATCTGCGCAGAGAAACATGGCTGGAAAACAAACGAACAAGTAAGCAAAAACGTATTATTTTCACCCGGAGTGGGAGGATGAGTATTTTTTTTTGTTTATTCTAATTCGAAGTCTATTTGCCTCATCTGTAATTTGAGCACCGCCTTACCCAAAAAGGGTAACTTGGAGTGGCATTTCAAGATGATGCACAAACAGTACGTGACGGATTTGCCTCCTAAAAGTTCATTACGGGCTCAGAAAGTGAGGGAGCTAAAAAGCAAGCTAGCAGCCCAGCAATCGATTTTCACTCGGCCCAACACAAAAAGCAAAGCTGCTACGATAGCTTCATACCATGTTAGCCGGATCTTGGCTCAACACAAGAAGGCTTTCGATGATGGAGAAGTCATGAAAGAAGCGTTTATTGAGGTTGCAGATGCACTTTTTTCGTGATTTTAAAAATAAAAGTGAGATCAACATGATCAGTTCTGTGAGCACCTTCAAAAGCAGGCTAAAACTTCTCACAAGTCAGCTGCAACGCAGGGACCTGCAAAACTTTCCACACATGGAGGCAGAGCTACAGCGTCAAAGAAATGAAGTCACACAGCTGAACAGTGCACACTATTCCAAGCAGGTTCAGAGCATCTCACCAGAATTTGAGAGACGATTTACTGACTTTTCCTCCATCGAGCCTGTTACCAGCTACATGTTGCTTTTGAAAATGTCAATGTGGATGACATTGTGTCCAAACTGGTGTCCATGTTTCAGCTGGTCAGCTCTGTTGTTGAAAAGGAGGTTTTGACTTTGCAAAATGGCATTGGGATCAAATCCAGAACATCACCTGGCATGGATGGAGAGCTCTGGAGTCTGCTGTCAGAGGAAAAATATCCCAACATCTGAAGATGTGCTTTGAACTTGACAGCACTTTTTGGATCAACCTACCTGTGTGAGTCTGCTTTTTCACATGTGAAAATCATCAAGTCCAAGAACAGATCCACAATGACTGATGATCATCTGGAGACCTGCCTGCGCCTCGCAACCACCTCATACTGCCCCGCCTATGACATCCTGGCCTGCTCCTCTCAGAAGTCCAACTAAGTTATATAAATTTATTTTTATATAGCTTGCATAAAATAGTTGTCTCCTCTACTTGTCACAATGTGTCTGTCTGTTGTTTTTTTTATTACCTTTTAGACCAGATTAGTGTGTTATACACTGACTGGCACCTTTGTGTTATTTATTTATTTATTTTGCAGTTTGGATGTGCCCTTCATTTTCTGTACCTAATGTGGCTGTGTGTGTGTGTGTGTGTGTTTTGTCTTACAGGTGGTGAACAGGTGGAATTCTCTGAATGGCCCTTTGAAGCCAGCAGTCTGGACCAGTGAGGGACTGAGCCCACACCTGCAGGTGACACACCATCGTGATGCACAGAGCCAGCTGCCTAGTTTTAATATTCAGGTTTTGTTGATGTTTGAAATAGTTGTTGGATATTTGTGAATCAGCACCTTTGTAAGTCACTTTTTGTGAATAGTTAGTGTAAATGAGAGAGTTTTATATTGTTCATTTCAGTTGTTTATTCATTTCTGGATTTTTTTCATTGTGAGTTTTTCAAATAATGTTTTCTTTGACTTTGAAAAATGGATGGCAGTCTTGTTGTAGCCATGTTGGCCCTAATAGTTTTTTTTTGTTTTGTTTTTCCCCTGTATGGAGAGAAGAGAGGAGAGATCCTTAATTAAATGGGGACCAGTTCCCTGCTCCAAAGTTATTTAAGTCTGTGGTTGTCTAACTGCGCAGGTTTCCAGCCCTTATACAGTAGCTCACACATCCCAGTGAGTACTAATTGAAGAAGGTAAAAAAATTATCCTCTTTGTTCCACCACAATTTTATGTTTCTCTGTCAGGAGTTAAGTAAGGGTTTTATCTTTTATTTTCTTTTTTTGTAGGTAAATATATGGTTAAGTAGATAAATTTGTTTGACAATACTTAATAAATAAAACTAGCAACACATTGTGTTCTGCTTTATTTTCTTTAAAGAAGGTAGGAGTATGGAGATAAAAAAAATATATATATGTTTTTTGATACTGAGACTGGACGAGTAGATCTCGGCAAACTGCCGACTTCAAAAGTAGATCATGGTTCAAAAAAGGTTGGGCACCCTTGCACCAAAGCTATTCACGTTTTAGTGGTGAAAGATTGAACTTGCAATGTTGCCATTTCTGATTCAATTGATTCGTGAGACTGTGTGTTACATCACCTGCTGGTCCAGGGGGTCCTATATCTCCCATCTCTCCGACACCTTTGTCACCCTTTACTCCAGGTGGTCCTTGTGGTCCTACAAATAGAAAGACACACTTTCTGGCACATTGTTGCTAAACATCGATCAGTATTTAAACTGTGACACTAAGTGGGCAGCAAAAAAATCACCTGGAAGTCCCTGCCCTCCTGGCCGTCCTTGCCTGCCAATCTGTCCCGGATGTCCAGGAGCACCTGGGGGTCCGGGATTACCTGGGGTACCATCCTTCCCCGGGGGTCCTGGTCGACCAGGTGATGACACCATTTCTACTGGCATCTGCATGCGAGACATGTAGTAGGCCATTCTCTCTGGAGAGAGATAAAACAACAATAAAAGAATCCTTCCACTGAAGCAAAAACAGCAGTATCTGAAAGGACAACTGAACACAGGATTTAAACAGATGCATTTCAAGAAAATATACTTCTTTGTGTAGAAAATATGGCATTATGTGCATTAAATCACCACTCAGTCAGATGTTATTGCCCTCACCATCAAATATCTTGATGACCTGTTGGCGAATGAAGTTCTTGATTTCATCGTAATTGACGACAGCCTGTTAAAAAAAATGAAGCGACCAAAAGAAAAACAAAAGCACAAACATTAATCAGGCAGATAATTAGAAAATTCATTATTTACAAGAACAGATGGAAATGGTGAGCGCCTGTGGCCAACGTACTCTTTGCACCACCAAGATAAATATTGAATGATGTGGAACTATAAAAACACAGGCTACAGTTATGTAAGGCGAAGAAAAATCAAATGTATTGTACATCATTTCCTGGTGACCCTGGGGAGCCAGGCTGTCCGGGTGGGCCTGCTGAGCCTGGGCTTCCTCGTTCTCCTCTGGGTCCAACAGGTCCCATCATGGGTCGTTCATCCTTGGAGGGGTACCCTCCACCCCCTGGGGGACCTGGTCTGCCTCTCTCTCCAGGAGGACCCCTTTGCCCAGGGGAACCTGGTTCACCCTAAAAGACAACATACTCAAATCAGGGTGATGGTTGTGAGACAATATCAGTCATTTTAGTGGTAGATATAATGTGTCTTTGTTTTTTCTGTTTCCAAATAAAATGAGTAACAAAGAAAATAATGTTTTTTTTTTGTTTAGTTTCTTTCTTTTAAAACTAAATTAGAAAAATGACAATTGCAAAACTAAAAAAGGTTACGTTCTTTCATTTTAATGGTTAAATCAAAGACATAGTGCACTATTTTGGGGCCTTCTGCCAGAACTGGAAATCATGGTTTGAACTCCTGGAGCATTACATTTTCCGTTCACACCTTGTTTGTCTTATTTGGAGGAAGTTGACACTTAGGGGTCTTTGGGTTGGGGGTCTGAGGTTAATATGAGGGATCAGGATTAATGGTTAATTTTAGGTACTGAGGTCGGGGATAGGCTGTATATGGCTAATATAGGTTAAATTTAGGGTCTGGAATGGTTAGTTCTCGCATATTCTCTATTTTCAAAAATGGTTAATATGAGGGATCAGGGTTAATGGTTAATTTTAGGTACTGTGGTCGGGGATAGGCTATATAGGGCTAGTAGAAATAAAATTTTGGATCTGGGATGGTTAGTTTCGCTCATTTCCTACTCTTAAAAATATATGACAACGGGCTCGTCCCCCTCCGCCTCATCTCGTAAAAAAATTGACATGCCCGATGCGTCAAAACTGGACGCAAAAGGCTACCTGACCAAGCATCAATATGTTGACGAGTTGGGAGTGAGAATGCATTGGATGGTATTACCATGAAGGAATTTGCTTTAATATTCCGAGTTATGAAGAATAGGTTCGGAGTGCAATCATTGCCGACATCTATAGGAATGGTTTCTGTTTTTCAGCAGTCTTCTGTCCACTAAAAGCTCTAATGCTTTGGTGATTTTCGTCATTTCTGGTATCGCTGCATGTTAAAACAACTGTATTTAATATTTTGGATTTAAATAGTTGAAGCAAAAACCAAACACTGGATTTTATTTTATTAGTTTGACATTACATTTAAGTTTTAAAAATGGGAAAACAAAAAAAAACAGTTTTTTCTTTTTGGGGATTTTGTTTGGAAAAATAAAAAAATAAACAAAGATTTGACATAAGATTTCACATAGTTTATTTTCCCCCTCTAAGCAATGTATGCCATATGGATGTTCATATGCTAATATGGTATTAGCATTGAAATAATTACCTTGCTTTCACTCTTTAAACTAAACTTAGCACTAGAGCTTTGTTTTTCAGTTTTTATACGACCCCCTACCGCAGAGCATATGGCAACGCATTGTTTTTACCATATTATTTATATATTAATGTAAATGCACTTGTTTTGCTAAAGGAACAAGTCTTTTAAAGATAACTTCTCTCTATGTCTCCATCACTCTCCACAGTGCAGCACACATCATCCAGGCCGTGCAAACGCACTTAAAAACAACCCTGCTACATTAGCGACAGTGATTTATCGAGGACAAAGCAGCCCATAATGGACGCCTAATGTTTACACGTCACAGACAGACAAGCACTTCCTGAAATAGAGAGGAGTGAGAAGAATAGAGAATTCCGTTCTTGTCTTTCTCCCCTGTTCAGTACAGCTAAAACCCTGACAATGCTGTCCTGTCAGCGTGACAAATAGCCTCATCTAGCATCTCCCCCTCGTGCTTAATAGCATTATCCCAGAGGCAGAAGAATAACTCTATCGCTTTGCCCACCTACTGTAAGCCACTGTCTGCAAAGAGATCCAGAAGACTCTATCTTTACAGTGGGATGGATAGCAGGCAGCTGGCTCCCAGTTTTGAGAGGAGCAAAGCGAGTCATGGAGGAAGGAGGGGGTCCATTGAGGGGTCAGAGGGTTAGTGAACTGATGACTGTGTTAAGTGCGGGTGCTGAGTGGGCAGAAATAAGGGAGGGCGGATGTGTTCAGCGTCATGGCTTGCCAACATAGGTCTCCTGGGGGATGTGGGGAAAACAGAAAACAGGCAAGTCTTGCTGTTTTCAGATAGTCAGCGGATGTAATGGATGGTTGACGTTCTGCTTGATAACACATTCACACAATGCCTCACCTCGCTGAGTCACTACTTACCTTTTGACCTGGCTGTCCGTTGTTCCCCGGTGTACCTGCCGCTCCCTGCCAAAAAAAAAGTGACAGCCATTAAGGATTGAAAAATATACATAACCTCGCATGAAGCTCTCAGTGCTGCACTTTAAAAAGGACAAAGACCAAACATTACTCACATCTTTACCAGCAGCACCATCACTGCCAGGCTCACCCTGAAAGGCAAACACAGAATAAAACTAAAGCTGAAGGGAGACTTTTCAGATAACTTGTAAATCAAATAGCTTATTTTTTTGAGGGAGTTAACACTGTTGAAAAATACTGACCAAAGGTCCTGGATGTCCAGGTGGTCCTGGAGGTCCAACCATCCCTGGGAGGCCTCTTTCTCCAGCTTGGCCCTTGTCTCCTTGCGTACCCTGAAGCAATATATGAAAACAATTGTTTTTGTTAGTTCAGGTTTCTGCAGTGAGAAGAGTTTCAGATGTCTTTACCCTACTGAGGCCAAACAGACTCCAACATGTTCACACAATATACACAACATCTATTATCACACACCTGTTAAACACTATTTTAAATTCATTAGTCCTCAAATTAAGCTTTCATATCTTTATTTTTGAACATTTATTTTAATACGTTTTTATTTCCCAATTATATGTTGCTTCTGTAATTATTCTGTTTAATTATAACTAACGGGACTTTCTGTATTCACTCTAGGCACTCATTTTTTATGGATTTTTCTTTCATTTCGGAGCATCAACACATTTCTTGCTTAAAATCGAAAAAATATTTAGTTTCTTTATTTTCCTCCATTATTTGACTGATATTGTGTGACGATGAAGACATGTTTGAAGTGTTCTTACCACTCCTGCTGGACCAGGTGGTCCTGGAGGTCCTGCTGGGCCTGTGGGACCCTGATGGAAACATATAACAAGTTTAAAATGCTAACAAAACCCAGAACAAAACACTTTAAATGTTGAATAGGAAGGGCAGTTACGATGTGGCCTGAAGGTCCTGGTCGTCCTTGAACTCCAGGAGTACCAGGATCACCCTGGAGGAGTTACAGATTCAATTTTAGATCTAACAATGACCATAAGACAAGAGACTTGTCTGTGTGATTCTATTGGCAATCAATGTCTTCTTATAAGGCACGTAGACTAACTTCATGGCCTGGCCTGCCGGGTGGTCCTGGTGGACCTGATGGTCCAGGTTCTCCCTGGAAGGACGGGATAGTTTTAAACACAGAAGAAGCACATTAAAAATATATACATTTTTAAAAGAAAATTGTGTGGAAGACGTTAAATCACTTTAGCTATAGTCGTCTGTTCGATAAAACAATGAGGCGTCGAGCACAAGAAAGCGGCTGAAACTGGAACTATACAAACAGACAGGGTGTTTTTGTAAAGCAGTAAGTTCTTGGCTAACCTTCTGTCCAGGAAAGCCAACATGTCCTGTTTTCCCTTTGAATCCCTGAGGAGAGACATCAAAGAGAATAAGAATGGTACAGTTAAAAAAAAAAAAAAAAACTCAAGGCTGCCAAAAGAAAAAAAGCAGATTGTCTTTGAAATCTCAAACACCTGCTCTTGGGTAGAACACAAACTAAGATATAGGGAGCATAAAAAAAGATATAAAAAAGATTCAGAGTGAGGAAAACAGACAGCTACTTGTCTTCGCTGAGGCTTACTACGCTGTGTTCTTATCACCACCTATGTCAATACGTGAAACAGAAAGTTAGGAAGATCTAAGGAAACAACGGCAGGCTTTGAACTTTTAAAGGACTTTGTGTCACCAGTGACACATACAGCATTAACAAAGTGCAGTTATGGCAGCACATATTAATGCAGCGCTGTAACATGGTTGAGGTGAGTGAAATATCACAAGTCACATTCCGCTAATTAGCTTTCAGTGCTGCTTGGTGAAACCTTGCAAGGGTTAATAACTCGGATCATCCCATCTGCATGCAATGTTTCTGAG